TCATGTCCTTTCTGCAGGGAACATTGTAGTTTTGGTGTTGGCAAACCTGATTAGTGGGCTTTTTATTCTTGGACATAATGTGAGTAACTAACTTTCTGATAGATCTTAGAGATGAATATTTATTTAACTAACTTCCCTCTGTCTACTTGAAGTCTATTTCGACTCGTAAAATCCCTTGCAAATCTAGTCTCTGAAATTTTATAGTTGTTCAATAGGTTCTTGAATTTTCAAATTTGTGTCTTATAAGCCCTAGAGTATTATTTTCCAAAGTTCACATACTTATTCCATGAATTTTAAAAAGTGTTGAATAGGTTAGGGACCTATTAGACACAAAATTGAAAGTTTAGGGACTTATTAGATATTTTAAAAATTTTAGGGACTTATTAGACATTTTTAATGTTTAGGAATTTATTAGATATTTTTAATGTTTATGGACCTATTAAACACAAAATTGAAAGTTTAAGGACTTGTTAGACGTTTTTTTAAGTATGGAATCAGTTGGATAACTCCAAATGTTGAAGGACTAAACTTGTAATTTAATTTTTAAAAAATAATATTTTCCTAACAACTTCCCTGCTGCCACCTGCACATTTTCCCTCTGTAGCTTGAGGCCTATCATTTTAACAGTAAACGGTTTCATCATAATGCATTTATGTCGTGTCATAGTAGTCCATTTAGAAAGATTACATATGATTTAGCATGTGTGACAGCACGTGAGGCAAATTCAAGATGCCAAATTTTCAAATGTTTCGATATACTTTCTATGGATTACAACACTCAATCACTAAGGCAGTCCGTTTCGTTAATTTTGTTCAATCACAACCTTCTCTCAAACTAAAACCTACACAAAATTTGCAGTTGGCAGGACTCAAGAGCGAGCAGTTCAGAAGGGCGCCTAATGAAACAGATGATCAACAACACGTGGACCGATATGAAGAAGCACTCGGAAACCGAGAGAATTACATTCTACATTACATGGTTGCTATCTTATCCTTCGTAATATTCGGCATGGTTCCTCCTCTGGTTTACGGGTTCTCATTCACCAAGAGCAATGACAAAGATTTCAAGCTTCTAGCAGTAGCAGGAGCTTCTCTTTTATGCATCACATTGCTTGCTATTGGGAAGGCTCACACTCAAAGACCAAATAGGTGGGATGTGTACGTCAAAACGGTAGCAACTTACGTCATTATAGCAGCCGGAGCAGGAGGTTTCTCGTACTTGGCTGGTGATCTGATTGATAGGCTCATCAAGAAATATGGCTGGTTTGAGGAAAGCTCAGCCGTGAATCTGAATCTGCCCCTTCCTGAGATGAGTTTGGCAAAACCAGCATGGGGATCCTCTTGAAATGGTAGGTTCAGATCATGGAAGTTAGAAGAATATTTGGTTTCAACACTAATTTCATTGTTCACAATTTTTATTTTAATCTTAATTTCTTGATCTTTTTAAGTGCTTTTTGTCTCTTTTTATTTCTATTTTCAGCCATCACAACATGAAGCTGCTCTATATAACCGAGGATGGTTTCCATCTAGAAATAAAATAAATCTCAGGGAAGAATATGGCAAAATTTGACTTCTCAATGACCATGGAAAATTAATAGTGAAATCAGATAGCTGTAACTGAATTTATGCGTATAGATATTACATATTTTGACTCCTATGAGTATTTAGTATTTTTCAATACTCGTATTTGAATGTGCATGATAATTGCATAATTAATTAAATGAATAATAAAAGCTAATTTTAAATAATTACAGATAACAAAAATATTAATTATAAATGTATTTATTTAGACTAAACAATCTATTGATGTTAGTAATTAAAAATAACAAGTATTGAATCGTTTAATTATATATTTCATATATCCTAACTATGAATAATAAAAAAAGCCACGATGAATGAGTATTTTTGTTTCTTTGAATTTAAAAAGGTTCAAATATTTGAAATAAACATTTATATAAAAAAAAATACATGGAAGAACCTTAAAAACATATAGATATAAGAAATCAATAATATGTAAATCTTAAAATTGAGTGAAATAAGATATCTATTACCCTTTTAAAAGTAAAGGTTGGATCTTCCATCCTATAAAGAAAGAAAAGAAAACAATGAAGTGAAATGTAGCTCCTTTCAAATTAATTCACGTTTAAAAGTCAAATGGGTAGCATTGCCTTCCTGTTTACAAAAAGAGCCCTCACAAAATGGAGCTTCATTTTGTGTAATCACACCCCAAAAAGACCAAAAAAAAAAAAAAAGAAAGAAAAAACCAGCATTCTATCATCTGGTTCAGATTCTTTACTCTTTTCTCCCTCAATCAAGAATAATTAACTCACACTAATTTTACAGTTACAATGAAAATTTTAATAGGAAAAAATTTCTTATTCACCTCAAATTGGTCTCTGCACAAGTGGAAGAAATTAGTAAGATGTATCTAAGTTTAAATAAAATGGGAACCAAATACACCAACAAACCTCCATATTTGTTTGTTCCCCATCCTCCCTTTTTGTTGTTCAAAGATATGATTCATCAGAAATTCCATCTTGGGGAAGAATGAGACGCAGGAGTAGCAACAGCATTTTGCCTTGGTCTGTTGACTTGTTCCGAGCTGTTTCGCTTCTTCATGATCGAGGAGACGGTCGGGCTGTAGTAGTCATTGCTCCTGTAAGATCCAGTCCCTTGGGAGTACATCTTCCTTCCATTTCTGAAGCTTCTTTGATTCTCCAGCATTGTTCGGCGTGCCACGGGATTTCTTTGGACTGATCCCCATCTGTTGTAGTTTACACAACTTTGACTCCTTCCAACCTGCCCAAACTTCCCTTCTCTAGGACTTGTATAGTTTCGACTCTCTGCAGTTTCTGCAGAGTACATTGTCGTCTCTCCCTCACTGCTATACCCGTTCTGCATCGCTGAAACTTCCACGGGAGACGAACAAGACTGAACTTCACTTAAGGCCCCATTTACAGAGTTTGTTGAGGCAACCTCTTCTCCGTTTTCGATAGGATCAATGCGTTTTCTCTCCAGGCTTTGGCCTTCTCTTGACGGGCTCTCTTGAGAAGCATCCTTTGCAGAATTTTCATCAAAGTCAAGTAGGGGTTGTCTGCTAGGATGCGGCGTAATCACATTTGTGGTAACTCTTGGAGGAAAGTTGATGTCTAGAAGCTGCGTGGTTGTGATTTCCTTTTTTCGAACAGGGACTGAAATCAACTTTGGCGATTCATATATTTCGGGAGTAGGAATTCCTTGCACATGGTTCATATGCAGGATATCCGTCGGAGCCTCTTCCTTGATGGTGTTTGTTGTAGTGGAACAGCTCGGTCCTGGAAGATCCCTGGTTTTTGAGACTATATTGGATGGTGATGGCGTTCCTTCGTCATTTGATTCCATCGGCTTAAAAACTTGCCTCAATGTGAAGGAAGCAGAGGAATGCTCACTCTTTTGTCCTGAAGACATCAATCTTATGAGCTGTGGCTTTGGTTTGTTAAGTTCATCAAGACTACCTTCCCAATGTTGGTTTAACCAATCACAGATGATTGGCAGAGGGATACCAAATTGCATAGGAAGATCCTTCTTCCAAGATGACGAAGATGATGATGAAGTCGACGACGATTTGGTATTCGGAGACGTGGCTAGTTTCATCGGATCACAAACCATGAATGCTAGGTTGCCTTGTGCATCAAATCCAGCAGACCCAGCACTCCATGTTACGCCATCGGTTGATAACTTTATTAGGTTATCAGTGGCTATAACCACCTTGCCCTCACTAATGATCAACTCGTCTTTCTCGGAATATCCCAAGAGGTAAACGGCATTGCCGAGATCAAGATTTGGTTTAGAACATATCTTCAAGTGTTGAAGCTGCTGAGAGTTGGAGTCCCCATCCACTGCATCTAGGCCGACTATTGTAAGATCCAAAACGGAACTTGTAATGAAAAACCTGCAAACATAATGAAGCTAAAAAATTCACTGGAGAGCTAATAAAAGTAAAAGATCTCCTTTGCTAACATTCTCAGGAGAATACAATCTGTTTTTTTTTTTGTTATACTCCCATAAAATATTTAACAGTTCTTTTAGGTCGTACTCTAATAGCTAAAATCCTGTTTCATGACGATTTTGTTTTTTATTTTCTCTTTTTGAAAATTAAACTTATAAACACTACACTACTTATCTACGTTTTAAAAACTTTTCCAAAATCTAAGCCAGATTTTAAAAACTAAAAATAGTACTTTTCAGGCCACGTTTGATAACTATTTTGTTTTTGGTTTTCTGTCTTTGAAAATTTAGCTTTTAAACTACGATTAATTATAGTGATGTGTTTCTTTGCTTTACTATCTACTTTTTAGAAATGTTTTCAAAATCTAAGCCAAATTCCCACAATAAAAATAAGTAGTTTTAAAAACTTGCTTGGTTTTTAACATTTGGCTAACAATTCGTATAAAATAAATTGGGAGGAAGTTGACAAAATGTGGTCTTAAATACTCGTTTTTGTTTTTGAAATTTTGCTAATAATTCAAAATGTGATTTTAGAAAATGAGAAAAACATACCAAAATAAATGACTTCCTTGTGCATTATTTTTAAAAACAAGGGCTAAAATAAATTTTTTATCAAACAAGGCCTAAGTGTTTATTTGGTAAGACCGCACCTAATGGAGCATTATGGTAAACAGGTAATACCTAGCAGAGATAAAAGGATATTTTTACTTGTACCTAAAAATTATTTGGATGGAATCATAAGAGGGGAGAAGGTCAATGAAAATATGAATACATAGTTCTTCTTCAAAAAAAACTTATAAGTAGAAGAAAATATTAAAATCTATAACCTAAAACAGAAATTAAAAGGAGCCAGATTGATAAATAACATAAAACTGCAAAACAAGAAGTTAGACATTTCGGTACAGATTTTTTTTTTCTTTTGTGGATATCCGTGTGTCCGGACACACTTACGTGCATCTCAATTAATCGCGGGACAACTGCTTGATCTTACTACATTTTATTGCCACGGAAACTCGTAGAATATTAAACCTCAGGTAAGTGGCCACCATGGTTCAAACCCATTCTCAATAGTTTGAACCCATCAATTAGGTATAGTTACAGGTTAAAGAAACTCAATAATCTAGAAAATCTAAATCTAAATCACTCAGCTTCAGAATCATTACAACACAAATACTTGGAGTCCTTTGCTTGAAACCTTTTTCAATCCTTACAGTTGAATTGAGAATTCGCATTTTTCATTTTGTAAGAGGGAGCTATCGTGAAGCCTAGAGGGGCAGAAGTGGCAAATCACTTGTATCAGCAATCAGTTTGAAATAAATTTAATTTAAAAGAATAATCTTCCTGTATAAATGATGAATTTTGAGACATAGCCAGTAAATAAAGAAGACTGTTATTTTCTTTCATCCAGCTCTTAAAATTGTCATGCATCGAATTATGGTACAGCAGAAAGTGCACAGCAGGAATGTTAACTTCCCTATTCTGTAGGTTAGAGAATTTCGGTTTGGAAAAGTTATGCATACTTCTTCATAAATATTGGGGAAAAGTTTATTTTGATGCCTAGTGTGTCAATTTCAACCTACAAAAATTCTCAAATATAGGATAAAAAGCATCCAACACTATCAAAAGAATGAGTACCTATATAAATAAAGTCTTAACTTGGGTATTAATTTTATCACTTATTTAAGTTTAGGGTTCAATTCGATTAAATTGAAAGTTATTAGAATATGGAGTATAATCTGATTTTTTTCCTGGGAGCTAAGAATCTAAAGTTTTGTCACAGCACAAAATGACATACTATAAATATTCCAAGTATCTTATAAAAGTTCCTAATAGTGCATGTTTCTTACATCTAATACATATTTTGAGATAAACAATCACCATCCAACAAGCTGTAAAGGAATTAAGAGGTAGCTTCATTTGGGTGAGGTAGATGAAAGTGTTAGCAAGTGAATTAAGAGGTAAAATGCAAATGCCTATAAATCTAGACTGAAATGAGTAAGAGCTGCAGATTTTTGAACTGTGTCCTATTCCAACAGAAATGCAAGCAATGTAATGAATGAATCAAAGGGAAAGAGAACATGACATAGAATTTGAATCTCTAATTGGTCGGAGCAGTTGATTTTAGAAATTTAAACTTGATGGTCTAAAAATGTATCCATTCCTTAGAATTTCTAAACTCTACTGGTAGAAAACGAAGAGTCCAACCTACTTGGAGCAAAGCAAGCAAAAGCAGAACAGTAACCAGATTATGAATTCCTCCTAATGCTCAACATTTTCTTCGACAGGAAAAAATAGAGGAAAGAAGCAATGGAGAGAGGAATGACCTGTGAGGAACAAGGGTGGCAGCGACGCCGTTTTGGAGGCGGATCTCGCAGGCCTGAGCAGCAGCAACGGAGGGGAGATTAAGATGGGTGGTGAGAAGAAGGGTCCGGTGGATCAAAAAACCGGTGGCGGAAGTGGAGGAGGAGGAGCCCCCATCGGCGGCGGCGGAGATTCGGGCAATGGCGGGGCTTTTGCCGGAAAAAATGGCGGCCTTGGTCCTCTCGGACTTGCCAACCCCTTTGCAGAAACACCAGGAATCGGCCAGAACACGAACACCCATTGGAATGAGGAATTAGGATCTTCCACAAGAATTATGGATCTAGAAATGGCAGTAGCAGCAGCATTTGCATTTCACTCAAAGGGGCAATGTCAAGTGCGAATTTGTGAAATGGGTCGCCATTTTTTTTTGTGCTTTAGAGAGAGAGAGAAGGTAAAAGCGTGTGGGGAAATGGAGTAGCCTTATTTATGCCTTGTGAGTTTTATGCCTCAAATTTTCTCTCAAATTCTTTTTGGGGGGAAAAATTTGGATTACACACAGTTTTACATTGACTCTGTGAAACTCAGCTGGGACTGTGACACGTGTTAAAAGGTCAAAATTGTCTACAAATAAAAAAAAAAGAAAACAAGGCGGGACAAAGATGGAAATTGAAGTACTCTTCAATAAATATATATATTTGTATTTTGTCTATATTTTTGCGATATTACCTTAATATCGATTCACTTTTATGTTACTATCGAGCTTGTAGACATATGAAGATGTTGATAGAAATTTATGCCACGTCTAAATCATTATTTTTTTTAAAAACTAATTTGTGGTCCATGTAACTTAGGATGGAGATTCGAACTCACGATCACTTTATGGGGTTTCATCTCAAAATCAATCGGTGATGAGAGGAGTAGTCAATATTTATCTTTTCAATGTTGGATCCACTCCCTCAAGATTGGATATCTTTACCATGGTAAGATTCTTTACCTATTAATATTTATGGGTTCCATCTTAAAACCAATTGACTGTAAGAGGAGCAGTCCATATTTATTATAAACCATTGTAAGGTCCATTCTTTTTTCAATGAGATTCTTAACATTCATGTCTCTTTCCCCCTACAAAATTCATCATCAGACTTGAGAAGCTGGAAGAAAAAATTCTAAATTTATCAGAAAATAAGTTATTGTGTACGATGAGAAGGAGAAATTGCCAGTTTCTTCAAGAATCGAGCCGTCGTCCGACCAAAACCCACCGTCATCGGTGAAGTTAGAGGTTGGGAATTAAAATTGACTCCCACATGATTTTTGTTGGGGTTGTTGAATTCTTGATTGGCAAACACACCGAATTTAATTCCAAAGACATGGTTATTGGAGTTCCCATTGAGCGTGAAGTTGAGAAAATCCAGATTCTGGACAGGGGTAGTTTGTCGATCCTGACAGCCAAGACGAAGATGAAAACGAGGCCATGTTTGGGGAGAATGTTCTTTGTATAGCGAAGATGAAGAAGTGGAAAGGGGTAAATGCTAGAAGAATTGGACCAATTTAGAATTTTGCTTCCAATTTATTAAGTTTGATGATGGATTTTGTAGAGAGAGAAAGGGAGATGAATTTTGTAGATTGAGAAAAGGAGATGAACATACGAGAGAAAATGTAAAGGAGGAGAGAGAAAGAGAAAGAGAGTGTGAATGTATTGAAATAAAATGCCACATGAGTTAAAAAAATGATATAAATTTAATAAATAATATACAACTCATAACAGCACCTCAACGTTCTGTTAGCCACATCAACATTCTATTAGTGACACTAACATAAATTTGATTAGAGAGACCTTTCAGAATCATTTTTAAAAAGTCGAGGACTAAATTGTCACTTTTTTTAAATTTAGGGACTAAATAGAAACATGTCTTTAAACTTAGGGACCAAAAGTATATTTAACCCAAAACTTTTTTTCTTCCCCTCTCACTCACACTCATATCACTCACTATTGCTCAGGCTGGAATTTTCTCACTATTGCACACGCTCGATATCTCTCACTCTCACTCATGCTTGATTCTCTCACTTTCACTATCTCTCACACTTGTTTCCAAATCTTATTTTCTTTATGCAACCATGGTTGCGGCACCTAACCTCAAGATGAGCATATTTCACATTCATATCAAACTTAGGTGACGCAGCTATAACGTCGTTAATTCAGACAAAATCTCTGGTACTATCCAACGACACAATTGTACCAAAAGTGAGATATTGGGAGAACTCCACGAAATGGAGAAGGAGAAGAACTAACATCATAAAAGAACATACAATTAGGACTGCCATATCCAAATGTGACTCTCAGAAGCAAAGAGGAAGAATAAGCTAACCAAAGTATTGAATTTGAAGAAGAAGCTAGTTAAGTTAGTTGATGAACTCTATTTACGGAGGGTTTCTAATAACTTAAAATAGAAACCGCGTCATCACATGCGGGGTTATGTAATTGTAGTTGTTTTTAATATCTTTGTCACAATAAACTTATTTGGTCAATCCATCATTAGCTTATAGATAGTTGTTTTGTTGTTTTGTTGCTTTAGTCTTTATGTTTTGTAGCCAATTAGTCAATACATGTCTTATCTATTTTCAATCAAATTTTAAAAGTATTTAACTCAAAATATTATTATTCTGGATAAGCCAAAGGCACCAAGTGGGGACACGTGAAAGGAAACGTCAGGTCCCTCCACCAAAAGAGTGGGAGCATCGAACGTATCGAGAAGGATGGTGAGCGTACCAGAAAGAACGCGAGTGCACCATACGAACGACTCAACTGCAGCTAGAGGCACTAAAGAACTCGCCCTGCAGGCACCTATACGGTGTTAGGAGCGCGTCCCAACTCCCGCCTCACTACTCTGTCTTAGCAAGAGAAGGATAAAGAATGTCGAAAGGGGTCCCCACACCGGCCTCAAGAGACTGTCTGTCTCGCTTCCCCTTTCCTTCCTTCTCTCTGTATAAAAGGGAGAGGGAAGCCTTAATCAAGGTAAGCCACATTTTCCTACACAAGTTTGTATGAAGATTCGACACACACCCTCTAGCATACTCTCACTCTCGAGAGTTCTACTCCCTCATTCTTTCTGCTCCATACTCGTTTGTCCCTACTCGAGTTCTAACTTAAGCATCAGGGTGTATTCAGTAGAGTACCACTCGGTGCAAGATTTCTGTGAATGCAGGTAACAATTACCGAAGATGAAGGTGTACGTAGCACTTGAGTGGCACCTACTTGTACTTCACCTAGAAATCGACATCAATAATTGGCACTATCGATGGGGACGAGTTGGCAGCCAGTCAACTTTATTCCTGGTTAACTAGCAACTGTGAATGGCAGGATTGAAATTTGGTTCATCCGATGGACAAATCTCCTTGGCCTATCGTCATGTTAATGCCATAACGGAAAATGCAGATGAGTTGGTGGTACAACTCCCCCGTCGGAGCCCATCACATGTTGGATCCAGCTAGCTTGAGCTACAGATGGCACATGGCGAGGAGAAATCCAGCGTGGGGGATCCAACGCCCGTAGCAGCAGCACGACACGCTTGCTTGTCTAGAGTCATACAACTAAGTCATTGCCCTCTGGCGCAAGTGCAATAGCTTCAAGAACACATTCGAAGGATTAAGCAATGCGACTAAGAAGACGTACCTGTCGAAGGAGTCAGCCAAACGGAGTATCTCACATTCGTTCGCGACCCTAAAAAAGGAACACAACCCCTCTAAGACGCCACAGATGGGGAGGGACATATCAGAGATGCCCCCATAACTCTCGAGTGAGGGTCAACCTTGGAGGGGGCCACCCATAAGATGGGGAAGATCTCGAAGACCAATTGAACTAGTATAGGTCCGCCTAGGGATCTACCCATTCCAACCACTAGAGCCTCACCTCTGACTTCTCTTGGGTTAAATCCTGTGCTAGGAGCGCCTAGAAATCTTAACTCGACAGACTCAAGAACTAGGTGAAGAACAAAGTCAAGGGTGAACTTCGAAGGGAGATTGCGAGGATGTAATCACGGATGAAGTAGGACGACCCCTCTTTTGCGTCGGAGGTCCTGGCTGAAAGGTTTTCCCCACGTTCAAAATCCCAATCACGAAGGAGTACGATGTAACAACTTGCCCTATAGATCATGTGGAACGCTTCCATAACTAGATGAACCTAAATAATTATAACGATGCACTAAAGTGAAAGGCATTCTTCAAGACTCTCTCTAGGGCAGCTAGCGGTGGTACAGGCAGCTGAAGTTGGGCAGTTTCTTTCGTTTCTTTTATTTGGGATAGGTCCTAGTCGATCAGTTTCGTGGAATCCATGCGTCTGATGCCCGACGACCCACTTGATGATGCTCAAGCAACAGAAGGCGAATCCCTGCAAAACTACGATGACATGAAGTGTTATGCTCTGATGGCCGGACTCAAACAAGATTGTCTGGTGATTTCACTGTACAAGAAGTCAACCACTTCCTACACCGCACTCCCTGCTCGTGCCACCAAGTTCATGCAGGTGGGCAACCTTCTCCATGCCCGCACCGAACGAAAAGTTTAGCCCTCCTACAAGGGGAAGGATAAGTCGAGGACCACCACTATAGAGCGGGCAACGATGGAAGAAGCATCTTGTAAAAAAGGTGGAGAGTCACTAAGGCAAGTACGAGTGTTACACCACAACCACAGTTCCAATCAGCTAGATTCTGGCTAGTATGGAGGACCTAAGCTTACTCAAGCTTTCCGACCATCTGCATCAACCCTCCCACAAGCGCGACCAAAGCCGATACTGTCGCTTTCACCAGGATCACTGCCATGACACGTCGAATTGCAACAACCTGAAGAAGCAGGTGGAGTTTCTTATACAATGGGGGTACCTCAAGAACTTCGTGAGGACAGGGCAAGCTAAGAGGCTAAAACTGGCATGACAGGCCAAAACCTTGCTCGCCAAAGGTCAAGGTACCTTTGGAAAGAAGACCCTCTAAAGGAAATCCACACCATCTTTGGCGACCTTGCTGGAGGATCGTTTGGATAAAAGAGGAAGTTTGTCGCGCGAGAGGCCAAACACGCCACAGTCCCAGAAGTATGCTTAGTGTAGGTTACCGAACCGGTACAACCGATTTCTTTGTTGAAGGAGAAAGTACGCGACCATCATCAACCTCACAATGATGCCTTGGTCATAATGGCCATGATAGCCAACGCCAAGGTCCATTGTGTCTTGGACGATAGAGGCGCATCGATCAACGATGTCCACTCAGCACCTTCAGCACCTTCAGCACCCTAGGCTAGACCAGGGACAAGTTGAAAAGTAGGGCAACGCCGTTGGTGGGCTTGCTGGAGAAAAGGTCACCCACGAGGGGTGTATAGAGCTACAGGTAGTCTTGGAAGAAGGGCCAAACCAAGTGGCGCATATGATTTAGTTCGTCATAGTTGATTGACCATCGATGTACAACACCATCCTCGCGATCAACCATTCACGCCCTCGAGGCCGTCCCATCTATGTACCTCCAAATGATGAAATTTCCAGGTGCGTAAGGGATACAGATATGGACAATGAGGGGAGTAGCGGGCCTGATAAGGCAATCCTAATTCTCGGCCCAATGATCCAAGCTTTTGTTGAGCAAGAACCCTTGAATCAAAGAAATTAACACCTCCTTAAACAAGTTAGAATCAACCAATAGAAAGGCTAGAAATTGATTACCTCTATGATCAAAGATCTAGAAGCAAGAATGGAGATCTTGTTCTAGAATGAGTCATTCCACAATCAAACTTGA